TCTAAACTCGGATCGCTTAGTGATTTTGGAAACAGGATAAACGGGAAATAAGGATTCTATCCATCAAAAATAATTATCTTTCAGAGCTTTGTTTTCCTCAATTTGTATTAGGTCTGCTTGCAAATTTATTGCCCATCTCTAAACAACTCTTCCGGCAAGGATCGAGTGATCCTGCAACTCTCTCGATCGAAATTTATCTGAAATAACATGCATTGTTTTTTCATTTTATTTATTCGGGCCTTGAAAGGTATTCGTCCATTTGAAACGTCTGCTCCTCTAGATCAGTTCGAACTGAGCTTATATTTGATGGGGTGATTATCCATCATAAATTGCACGACTCAGTAATTCACTCCTCCAAGTTGGAATTGGTTGTTTTGAAAACAAGCACCCAATACATTTTGGTGGATCTTTGAAAATGGCGATCAACTCACCTTTCTAATTCCGGTGGCGAGTCAATGGAGAGGATTATTTTGTACGGAAAACTCAAAGGATTTAATTAGTGGATCAGCCAAACTTCATCGAACGGTGCTAATTTCAGGCATTAGTTTCAACGGCTAGTTGACAGTTTGTGTGTAATCTTTTGATCCCTTTGACAGTCAGCTACAGATGCACAATTCGATGTTGGGAATTCATTCCTGTTTAAACTTCTCAAATCCATTTCCCACACTCCTGTAGTCAATAGAGCAGAAAATATCCATGTCCTTGTACTCACCCTCCCCCAAGCTGATAAACAGTTACCACTAAATTCATTCACATTCTTTCGAGGGAGGGGGATCCCAACTTTTGAAGCTTGGTTTCAAATTCTCCAGCCCACCTTTAGACTTATTCGTCAAAAGTTATCAAAACAGTACTTAACTGGCGACAACGTACATGAAAGGCAATGTCAGGAGTGTTTTGCATTCAGGTATCAGTTTGATCACCGAGTGAAGTGTTCAGTTCTCTCAACGAGGACGCATTCTGGATTCTCCGGTCAAAAATGACAATGTAATCATACGTTTTCCTTCCGAAAAATATATTTGTCATGCGGAATAAAGGCATAACAAAAAAGCTAACCAATTATTGTACATTCATGTCATATGACTTGTTTATAATCCCCACGCAATAATCACACAATAAGCACTCAATAATCGCAAACCAAACTTGATTCAAAAATCACGAAAGAAAAGTTGTGCTATGCACACTGTCTGCCCGTTGCCTGTTACCTACCGAGACTATTCGATACACTTTCATTCAGACGAATAAAAATCCGCTTCTGATGATTCCTAATTGGCCGGAAAGAACAGTTGTCTAATGTGCTTCCGAGACGTTTGGGTGATGAGCGACACGTCGAGACTGCACTTCAAATAAATTTTTGTGAACAAAACAAAAATCTCAAGCAATACTGACGTCTTCCTGTAATATAGTCATGCTATCATTCTCTTCGGTTAGTTATTTTAACTGCACACTTAATTGGTGAGCACCAATTAGTATCGATCTGTTTACTTGAGCGGATACTCATCCCTTGTTAGCTAAACTGTACGTTCAATCTAAACACATCTAAATTGTTGTAACCTGGTGAGTATCCTGTTGATAACAAAAGATTAATTTTCATCATACGGGATAAGTTGGCCGATAGCTGGCACATACAAAAATAATAATTTGTGTAGGTGTTGGTATTGAAACTGAAATCACAGAATGGAGAGTGGGAGAACATATTTTGATAAACAAACTATTTCATCAGTTGGTATATCACATAGTTCCGTCACTCCTCCAAAATGTAGTTCTTTCGCATGAATGAGCTGGAGTAAAGACATTGTGAACAACAGTCAATAACCGACTGAAAATGCCGATCGTATTGTGCGATACTTTCTTGGCCTTTGTGCACATAAGGAAGCGCATATTTCATTTATTGTAGCCCCACAGACTGACCGCTGTATAGTAAGCCTACACAAGTCCGAAGATTGATCTGGTGAGAGAATAATAAGACCACCTACAACGAATACGTCAATCAGGGCACTGAAGTAACCAATACAACGTTTCCAGCAAAGCATCAATCAAACTAACAAAAAGAAGAAATCAGCGCAGTTCTACGGTCCAATTATCATAACTTCAACATCTTGCTTCGTAAAATGTATCGCTTACAGAGTAAATAAGTTCTATTGACCCCGTCGCTAGGGCTTAGATCTTATTTTCGGCTCCTGTCATCTTCAGAACCTCAGTCTGACTGGAATTAGAAAAATACTTATTATCCGTTCCCGAGGCATGATACCTCTTGTTGACAAGAAAAGCATTTTCCTTAATTGAAGTACATACCGTTGTAATTCTATACAAATTCACAGACATCTGAGTCTGCCTGAGGGCAGACCAACTGTCCGGTATTTTATTTTGGCATTAACAAAACATTTACAAATAAACTTCGTTGTCCATCGATAAACTCACCATGAACGAAACTCGGAGAAGAACAACAATAAGCAAATCCATGAGTCTGTAAATTTGCAATGGTTNCAATAAGCAAATCCATGAGTCCGTAAATTTGCAATGGTTAATTTAAAAGGGCAACACTCTAGGTGCTGGAAGACGGTCAGAAAGCGTTATCAGCACTCTCTTCCTAATCAGTAACTAATCATCAGCCTAGTAGTCGATGAACTCCGGTTTCGTGACGAGTTTTCGGCATTTTGTTTCCAAATATCATCAAATTATTTGAGTTTATTTGTTAGTTTGGACCCCCGAAACCTACACATAATTTTCTTTTGTTCCAGTTCATGATATTTTCAAACTAATTTAATCATGGGTGTATTTTTAAACTAAGGTCCTCAGACCACCTCTTTTGAAAAAGCATCAAGTGGAACAACTTAATCTCCAAATGTCATATTCATCGACGAACAGGGGAAGTTCATACTGATATCGTTAAACGCCCTCTTGTAGTCAACTAATCTAGACCGATAGAAAAGAACAGTAATCATTTTCAACGATAAAACAAGTCTTTCATTTCAACGCATTGGATAGACATATTTTGACTACTAAGTGAACAGATTTATTATGAATCCCAGGGCTCATCTGGTCGAGGGATATGAAGCTCACACAAGACTGAGCACTTGTTCTAATTTCGCGTCTGGCACATACATTGGTTATTCCCTCTGAATGAATTGATTGTCTTTCATCCAGTATGGAATTCGAAGCTGCAATTGCAAGTAGAGTTTGAATCACAATTAAAATATCCACTACGTTACACTGAATTAACAAAATAAGAAGACATTAACTGAGTGATAAACCACACCATCGTCAGTTGTTGCGTTCGCTATCAGAAGACATTCTCATTATGGTAACCAGTAAACGTCTACACTTGTTCTGGCTGGCGAATTAATGATAGAATAATTTAATCTCAAAGGTGAATAAGTTTTGGTTGGAAATGCACACAGTGAGCCGTTCAGTTCAAAGTGTTAAACTTTTGATTGGAGGACATGATACGATCGAAAATCTAACCCATTTGTTGGTTGTCTAACTCCTAGCTTCTTTCCGTGCCTTGAAAACCAGTCGCTGTAATTCCGGATTTTCTACTTTGCAAACAAGCTCTGGAAATGTGGAGACAAAGTGTATACGATACACAATGTACACGTTCCGTTAGCCACCAAGCCCGTTGTCTTCGCTCAACTCGAATTATGAAATTGTTGGTCTAATTCATTTCCCCATTTTTATTTCATGACAAAACCGGAACAAACAGCGGCACCGCCATATCTTTTGTTCAAAACCTCCTTTTCACACACCTGAATGACGCCATGTCTCCGATAGAACCGAAATCAGATATCCACGCCTGAGTCACAGAACTATTGACGAGAACTGAACTGGTTTCCACATTGGTACACCAGTCGAGGGCAATAGCACGAGTGTGGGTGACAGAGTGAAAGAGAGAGAGGTCACGAAGACCAACGTAATGGGTTGAGGCACTTTTCTCATTTCTTGGTC